AGAGGTAGGGGCAGAGCTCAGCCTAGAGCACGTACAGCAGCACCTATTGCAGAGCCTCAGATTGAGCAGGAGGAGGAGGTCCTTGTTTAGACCATTCCAGTAGGACCAGCTCAGGTCCCAGAGGGGTTTATTGCTACCCCGGTACTTCAGGACACTCTAGTCCGCTTAGTGGGACTTATGGAGAGCGTGGTCCAGAAATGTGCATTTTATGTGGCACCAAACTGGTACAGAAAGCTCATGGAAATTAGACTCACGTGGTTCCAGCAGCCTGAGTACTTTAGCCGGTCATTGCTACACAGTCCGGGGAGAGACCTGCGATGTCTTCTGAGGGGCTGAAGAGGTTGGATTAGTTCACCAAGCTATTTCCTATTCGATTTGGTGGTACACCTTCAGAGGACCCACATGATTTCATAGACCGTTGCCATGATGTACTGTGCAACATGGGTATAATGGAGTCCAATGGAGTTGACGTCGCGATATTTCAGATGTATGTTTCTGCCAAGAGGTGGTGGTCGGTCTATGTTCGAGGTAGACCAATAGGTTCACCTCCACTTACTTGGGATCAGTTCTCAGAGCTATTCTTGGAGAAGTTCATCCTTTTTACTCAGAGAGAGGACTACCGTAGCCAGTTTGAGCGCCTCCAGCAGGATACATGACTGTTACCCAATATGAGACCAAATTCCTGGATTAGCTCTATTACACCCCACATTATTTTCCCCACGTGTGAAGTTGACGATTTATGAGGTTTAAGTACAACCAACCAGATAGCAACACGTTAACGGGCAAGAGACGAATGCATGCAACCATATTTTGCTAGTTGTCCCACTGGGCGCAGCAGCCGGTGCGGGGTGACCCATTTTGCATCTGGGGTGGAGAAATTTCCTAGGATTGATATGGTATAAAAGGGCATAATAGATCTTTCGCTTTAATTTTTAGGAAGTGTCACCCACTCAAAATTCACTCAAGCGCTCTCCAACCCTACTATAGAATTCCAAACAACCTAAGGCTAAATCAAAGCTGAATCTAGCAGGATTCAGCATGAAGAAGCTTTAATCATCGCTATAATATTCATTGCCTTGATGTGTTGATTCTGGAAATTCGTTAGAGGCAAAGTTAACCGGAGTGTAGCTAGTTCTTCAACAAGGTAGGACAACTTTCTTTTTTGGCATGACTTGGTGTTAATATCTTTCTCTTTGAAGGATCTCTATGTTGTCACAGTGGTTTGTTCTAAGCTCTTCCCAGAAATGCTACTTCAGTTCTTTTATATATATATATATATATTACATGGACCCAATGAGTGGCTTGACCTTTACAAAACCTTGCATACATTCATGATTCATGGTTATAGCAGTGTACCCCCTGGTGGCTTGTCTTCGATATTCAAGTTATATGTATGTATTTCTATCTCTTATGCTATGCCCTTGATTTACGTACTTTATCGTCTTACATACTTAGTACTTCGTTCATACTGACGCCCCTTTCTTTGGGCGTTGGGTTCATGCCCAAAGGTACATATAGACTCGGTGACGTCCCTCCCTAGTAGGATATTTGTTCCAGCTGTTGGTCGTTGCACTCAACTCCGTCATAGTAGCTGTTCAGAAGTTAATAGGTACTATAGTGTATGTTCCAATTATTTTGGGTACAGTGGGGCCCTATCCCCACTAAGTTATGTGTGTGTATATATCCTTTGTTACTCTTAAAGGCTTGCAGACTAGTGTTTAGATATGTATAAATGATGGTCATAACTCTGATGGAAACAGATGTATTTGTAAGTGTAAGTGAATCAAGGTCTCTTCCATTGTTACTTGTGTTCACTTGAATATCAATTCGGAGGCCTTATTGGCCCAGTTCACATGATGTAAAGATGTTGGTATAGACGTCGGTTTTCACGGGCCTTTGGGTGTTATGTGCTGGTCGCACCTCCCAAGGTTTGGGTATGATAAACTTAGTATCAGAGCAGGTTTGTCCTAGGGAATTTGCAAGCCGTATCTAGTAGAGTCTTGTTTATGGGTATGTCGTGCACTATACTTATAAACAGAAGGCTATGAGATATCTAGGATAAGTACCTTTCCTTTTGATCGAGAATGTACACTGGAACGAGATCGTAATGTGTTCGTTTTTAATCTCTATTTTGTTTATGTTTATAGCGATGCCTACCACGAGACGACATGCAATTATTCAAGGATTGAATGAAGAAGCAGGAGAAGGTACCAGCCAGGTGCCACCTGCCCCTATGAATCATCACGAACTCTGTGATGAGGCTGATACTCAGGCTTCGGGGACAGTACCATTACCCCCGGAATGACAAAGAGAAGCTAATGTGCCTCTGATTCCTCCCCCGGTTGTTCCTGAATAGGATCTAGATATGAGGAGTGCAGTACAGTTGTTGACTTGATTAGTAGCCTCTCAGGCCCAATGTCAGGCACCTACCATATCAAATAGAGTAGTTAGTACGTAGGTTCGGAATTTCATAAATTTGGACCCCCCGGTATTCACAGGAACAGATCCGAACGAAGATCCCCATGCCACTGATGCAGAGTCTATAGAGCTTTTCTCATACAGATTGTGGGATATTGCTGTGATTTGGCATGAAACATGGGAGCAATCTAGGGGAACTCTTGCTCCACCAGTAGGATGGAGGGAATTTTCTGAGGCATTTTTGCAGCAGTATTTGCCTATTGAGCTCCGCCGAGCTAAGCAAGATAGATTCTTACGCTTGGAACAATGGAACATGAGTGTTTGGGAGTACAACATGCAATTTAACTCCTTGTCCAAGTACACTCCTTTGGTTGTGGCTGAGATGAGGGATAAAGTACATTGATTTGTGGGTGGTTTGGGACCACATTTGATCAACGAGTGTACCACTGCATCTCTGAGTCCGAATATGGACATTGCTCATATTCAAGCTTATGCGCAGAGTTTAGAGGATCAAAAAAGGCAACATCGAGCTGCTCGAGAGCATGATCGGGGCCAACATAAGAGGGCCCGGTCTAAAGGTGATATGGGTGAGTCTCGAGGTGAGTTCAGACCTCCGTTTACTCAGTACCCATATTATCTAGTAGCAAATGCAACAACTTTGTCCCAGGGTCAGTGTCGCAATCGAACCACTCAATCCGGCTAGAGTTACAATCCCCGAGGGTAGAGCTTGCAATATGGTGGAGACCCTAGTAGGATGAGGCCCCAGGTGTCGCATTGTGGACGGTATGGTCGAAATCATTTTGGACAGTGACGTTAGGGTTCAAATTTATGTTATTCTTGTGGGTAGCCTGGTCACATAATGCGTTTTTTCCCAATGAGAGATGTGGGTAACAAGAAACCGCCAACGAGATCTGTAACAACTTCATCATCATCAACATGCCCTCATGAACAAGGCATGTAGCCACCGGTAGGTAGGGGTAGAGGTAGAGGTAGAGCGTCTACCTCGGGTAGACAATAAAACTGCATCTATGCATGATCGGGAAGAAAAAATCTAGAGTAATCATCGAATGTGGTCACAGGTATACTATCCATTTTCTTCGTAATGTATATGCTTTGATAGACCCAAGTTCTACCATGTCGTACATTTCTCTATTTGTTGCTAGTAAATGTGGTAAAGAGCCTGAATTGTAACATCAACCATTTGAAGTATCTATGCCCATAGGTGAGACTGAGATAGTTAGACAGGTATATCGAGGGTGCGATGTGGTGATTCATGATTGTCATACCTTAGCTAATTTGAATGAATTAGACATGATGGAATTTGACGTCATTAGGGGGATGGACTGGTTGGCTTCGTGCTATGCCAACGTGGATTGTTGGGCGAAAGTTGTTCACTTTAATTTTCTAAGAGAATCCGTTATTGAATGGAAGGTTGATGTTGCAGCGCCAAGAGGGAAGTTTATTTCTTACTTTAAGGCTCGGAAGATGATTGTGAAAGGGTGTATCTATCACCTGGTGCAAGTGTGGGATGCAGATGCAAAGCCTCCCACCCTCCGATCGGTCCCAGATGTTAGTGAATTTCCCGAAGTGTTCCCTTATGAGCTCCCAAGTATCCCATATGAGAGAGAGATCGAGTTTGATATCGATGTGCCACCCGATACACAAGTGATATCTATTTCTTCATATAGGACGACTCATGTTGAGTTAAAGGAATTGAAAGCTAAACTAAAGGATCTTTTGGAAAAGAGCTTTATCTGACCCAGTACTTCCCCGTGGGGAGCTCCAGTGCTATTTGTTCAGAAGAAAGACGGTTCGTTGAGGATCTATATCGATTATCGATAGCTGAACAAGGTAATCATTAAGAACAAATATTTTTGTTTGATCAATTGTAAGGGGCTAAATATTTTTCAAAGATTGATATGATATCTGGGTATCATCTGTTGAGAATTAAGGAAGAAGATCTTCCTAAGACAGCCGTTCGGACCAGATATGGGCATTACAAATTTCTCGTTATGTCTTTTGGCCTAACCAACGCACCATCGACTTTTATGGATCTAATGAATCGAGTATTAAGGCCATATTTTGTGATTTTTGTGATCGTTTTCATATATGATATTCTAGTGTATTCTCGATCTGAAGTAGAGCATGCAACGCATTTGCGAAAGGTTCTACGCACACTTTGGGATCACAAGTTGTACGCCAAGTTTTCCAAGTGCGATTTCTGGCTGAACTCAGTGGCTTTTTTTGGGCATATTGTATCGGACGAGGGTATAAAAGTTGATGGTCAAAAGGTTGAAGCAGTTAAGAATCGGCCAAGGCCCACAACTCCTATCTAGGTGCACAATTTCTTGGGCTTAGCCGGTTACTACTAAAGGTTTATGAAACATTTCTCATCTATAGCGGCTCCGTTAACAAGGTTGACGCATAATGCATAAATATTTTGGTGGACTGATGATTGTGAGAAGAGCTTCCAAGAGTTAAAGGACAATTTAATCTCGGTGTCAGTGCTAACTCTTCCCGAAGGACCAGAGGGGTACGTTATATATTGTGATGCATCTAGAGTGGGATTGGGCAGTGTTTTAATGCAGCATGGGAGAGTGGTTGCCTATGCTTTGAGACAACTAAGGAAGAATGAGAAGAATTACCTCACTCATGACTTGGAGCTAGCAACCGTTATATTTTCCTTAAAGATATGGCGTCACCATATGTATGGTGTCTATGTTGACATATTCACAGATCACAAGAGCTTGCAGTACATATTCAAGCAAAAAGAATTAAAATTAAGGCGGTGGAGATGGCTTGAATTGTTAAAAGATTACGATGTTGATATTTTGTACCACCCCGGGAAGGCAAACGTTGTGGCTGGTGCATTAAGTTAGAAGCCCATGGGCACCCTACGACGTATGGAAGATTATAAGTTAGAGATGACTAAATATTTGTACCGGTTGGCTAACTTAAGTGTACGATTTCTCGATACCGGTAACGGAGGAGCCATAGTTTGAAATATTGTTGAATCCTCGCATGTAGCCTAAGTAAAAGCACGACAATATGATGATCTAGTTTTGGTAAATCTATGGGAAAGCATTCCCTTTCCGAAAAAGCCAGCGTTCGAGCTATCCGAGGACGGGGTCCTTAGATATAAGGACCGGTTATGTGTACCCGATGTTGGGGGACTCCGAGAGCAGATCATGGAGGAGGTTCACCAATATCGGTACTCTATTCATCCGGAAACAACCAAGATGTATCATGATCTTCGACAGCTGTACTGGTGGAATGGCATGAAGAGGAACGTTGTTGAATATGTCGCTCAATGTCCAAATTGGCAACAAGTTAAGATTGAACACCAGAAACTGGGAGGATTACTACGGAGTATGGAAATTCCAACCAGGAAATGAGAGATGATCAATATTGATTTTGTTACCAGGTTACCACGATCACGCCAAAGATTTGATTCCATATGGGTTATCATGGATAGACTCACTAAGTCATCTCAATTTCTACCAGTTAAGACTACCTTCTCGATAGAAGAATATCCTAAGCTATACATCAAAGAAATAGTTTGACTCCATGGGGTTCCGACTTTCATCGTATCGGACAAAGGTGCCAAGTTTACAGCTAATTTCTGGAGATCATTCCAAAGAGGATTGGGCTCGAGGTTCAAACTTAGCACGACTTTTCATCCACAAATAGATGGTCAAGTTTAACGTACCATTTAGATGCTCGAGGACAATTGCGATCATGTGTTTTGGACTTCAAGGAAAATTGGGAGGATCATCTGCCATTCATTGAATTTGGTTACAACAATAACTACCATGCTAGCATTTAGATGGCACCATATAAAGCACTATACAGATGAGAGTGGAGATCTCCTATGGCTGGTTCGAAATTGGTGAAGCAATGTTATTGGGTCTTGATTTGGTACAACAGGCTGTGGAAAAAGTGAAAATGATTCGGATTCGATTATTGCCACTCAAAGTAAGAAAAAATCTTATTCGGATAACCGATGATGAGATTTAGAGTTCGTCGTAGGAGATTGGGTATTCTTAAAGGTGTCGCCTATGAAGGACGTGATGAGATTTTGCAAGAGAGGCAAACTAAGTCCCCGGTATATTGGACCATATCGAATTATCCAAAAAATTGGTCAAGTGACTTATAAGCTTGAGTTGCCCCCAGAATTGGAAGTAGTGCATCCGGTATTCTACATGTCAATGCTTCGGAAGTACTTGAGCGATCCATCTCGTATTATCCCTGTTATCTTACGAAGAAGTTCCGGTGGCTATCCTAGATCATCAAGTTCGCAAGCTATAAACCAAAGACGTAGATTCGGTTAAAGTATTTTGGAGAAACAATAATAAATAAGAAATGACCTGGGAATCTAAAGAAGATATGAAATTCAAGTACCCCCATTTGTTCCCTGCTACAGGAAGCAGCAATGAAACTACTATGACAGGCATAACTCACAATGACTAAAGAAGTTTGTAAGGAATGACTATAACTCAACATTCAAGGATGAATGTTCGGGGGGGGGGAGGAGATGTTACACCCCCACACTATTTTTCCCCCACGTGTGAAGTCGATGATTTACGAGGTTTAAGTACAACCACCCTGATGGTGACACGTTAATGGGCAAAAGGCGACTGCATGCAACCAGATTTCTCCAATTGTCCTACCGGGCACAACAACCGGTGCGGGGTAACCCATTTTGCATGTGGGGTGGCGGAATTTTCTAAGCTTGATATGGTATAAAGGGTAGAATAGTTCTTTCTCTTTCATTTTTAGGAAGTGTCACCCACTCTAAATTCATTCAAATGCTCTCCAACCCCCCTTTATAATTCCATACAACCTAAGGCTAAATCAAAGGTAAATTTAGCATGATTTAGCGTGAAGAAGCTTTAATCATCGCTATAATATTCATTGCCTTGATGTGTTGATTCTGGAGACTCATTAGAGGCAAAGTTATTCACCACAGGAGTGTAGCTAGTTCTTCAATAAGGTATGTAGGAAAACTTTCTTTTCTGGCATGACTTGGTGTAAACGTCTTTATCTTTGAAGGATTTCTATGTTGTAAGCTTGGTTTGTTCTAGGATCTTCTCAGAAATGCTGCTTCTGTTCTAATATAATATATTCTCACCGTTAACGTTACGTTTCTATCAGTTGAAATGTTTTTAGATAGTATTTTGAAGTAATAAAGTATGATTCATTCTACGTTGATCTTGGTATTTCCTTGAAGTTAACCTTGCATTACACTTATATATATATATATATATATATATATATACACTTTACCTTACCGAGCCATGCTATAGTCGATTGGGACGTCACCTATTGTGAAACCATAGATCTGTTGGGTATGATGAAGCATGATGTGAGATATTACCAAGCCCTTATTTGGCCGGGTACGATAATGTGAGGTTGTCGAGTCCTGTTGTGGCCGACTACACCGAGTCCTGTTGAGGCCGAGTTCTGTCGAGACCTCCATAGGCCGTGTATGATCGAGTCCTCTATGTGACCAGGTATGGAGCGATGTGTGATGATATGTCCCAAAGAGTGGCTGAATATATATATATATATATATATATGATGATCATTGCATGGCCCCAATGAGTGGTTTGACTTTTACAAAATCTTGCATACATTCACGATTCATGGTTATAATAGTGTGCACCTCGGTAGCTTGTCTTCGGTATTCGGGTTATATATGTGTATTTCTATCTCTTATGTTACGCCCTTGATTTACGTACGTTATCATCTTACATACTCAATAATTCGTTTGTACTGACGCCCCTTTCTTTGGGTGTTGTGTTCATGCCCATAGGTACGGATAGACCTGGTGACATCCCTCCCCACTAGGTTGTTTGTTCCAGCTATTGGTCGTTGTACTCCACTCCTTCAGAGTAGCTGTTCAGAAGTTAATAAGTACCGAAGTGTATGTTCTGGTTATTTTGGGTATGGTGGGGCCATGTCCCTACCAAGTTATATGTCTGCATATGTCCTTTGGCACTTTTAGAGGCTTGCAGACTAGTGTTAAGATATGTGTAAATGATGGTTGTAATTCTGATGGCAACATATGTATTTGTATGTGTAAATGAATTACAGCTAAGGTCTCTTCCATTGTCACCTGTATTCACTTGAATATCAATTTGGAGGCCTTATTGGCCTAGTTCACAAGATGTAAAGATGTTGGTTCGCACGTGCTTCGTGTGTCGGTCGCACCTCCCAAGGTTAGGGTATAAAAAGCTCGCCATGCATCTTGATCCCTACTAAGAGGGAGAGGGTGGGGAGATTCACAGATGGCCTTACTTATGGTATCAGGCTACAGATGGCCATAGAGACTGAGGATGATATATAATTTACTCGGGTTATCGTGGTGTTCAACCAAGAAGAAGTATCAATTTGAAGTAAATTTGGAAGGGACTTAGAGAAATAAGACAGCGTGGTAGTAGGTTGGATCAGCACAGTAATGGATATAATCGGTTCTTTGGGTACTTATGATGTGGCTAGTCTCTACAGGTGTTTCGTGGCAATGCTCTTGGGTTTTGGCGACCTGCGTGGCTGGGTTGAGTTAGAGAAATTCGGTTCTGATAGCTTGGTTATGTGCAAATGGGTTCGAAGAGTTCTCAATGGTTTTTACCAAGGTTCGAGGGGTATTTTTCCTGCTGGTGTGAGGAGCATGTGGTGTATAGTGAATTTCTCCTGGATGAAATCAAATGGAAGGTCCTTGGCTAATTGAGTATGTAGTTAATTGTGACTCGGAGTGGACTATGAAGTTCTCGTAGTTTTCTTATGATGGCATGGTATATGCGGTGTGTTGTGTGGGATTGAGATTTACGTGAGTGGGGTCACAGTTCTGTTTTGGAAGGGAAGGTCATAAAATCCCGTAGGCAGCATGGATGGATTCAGATGACTAGCTAAATGATATTACTGTTTGGTATGGCTTGATGAAAGTATACATTTCACAAGGGGCAATGTGTTTTGATTTATGGATACTTCACTAGTACTGTGGCACTCTTCTGGTTGATCGACTGCTGATATTCAAATTTTGCTATGTGGAACGGAAGAATTTCAGAAGTATTCCTCATAGGATAATCGTGTATGAGGGATGTGTTAGACATTCTGGCGGTGGAGTTGGGATCAGATGTGGTGATTCGTGTGTTCTATGAATTTGGAAATAGCGAGTTCTCAGGAGTAGACTGTTTCATGGTTGTAGACTGCGAAGTCATGGCCGAAGCTAGCCAGTATGTGTTATGATTCAGTCAATTGTAGGCTTTCAGAGGTTCATTTATCTATTTGTGGGTGCCCGGAGTTGATTTGGGGGTCCATTGGTAGTCCCAATTAGGATGTGTATTCTACACCGAGTTGGATTGGTTGGCTCCATAATGCTATTGTTGAGGGATGTGTCATTCAGTTGTTGCTGAGCTTATTCGTGTTCTGGAATTTTCTGTGAGTTACTCTTATATGCTAAGAGGAGTTGTGATTCGTTGGTTTTAGGCACACATGGTGCGGTTCTATTGTGGTCTTATAGCATAATTTAAGCCAGTTGAGCAGTTGGGTATTGCATGATTGAGGGCGTATTGGTTATGTTCTTTCAATTTTTGTGTGGCATTGTGTCATCTGCTTCTCCATGGTTATGGTAATGCACTTTGGGTACTTGATATCTAATTTCGCATGGCTATTGATTTTGAGTAGGGTGGCTCGAGGTATATGATATGGATCAGTGTTTGGATGGAGTCGCGCATTGCAGTGGAGTTATGTTGAGGTATAATCCCTTGTGTTAGATTTGTGTGTTTTGGTCCTACGATGTGTGATGGGTTCTTAGCATTGCGTTGTGGTGGTACCCATTGAGCTTGTGGGACGGTTCTCTTGATTGAGTCATTTTCGTGATTGGATATATTTGGATTGTTGTTTATTGGTGCATAGATTGCACGGTTTGTGGCTCTGAGTAGTATGGGTGTTGCGTGTCAGTAGAGTTGTTGGTATCCGATAAGATGGAGTCGTTGGATCTAGGATAAGTGCTATCGGATTTGATTGCAGTATATTTGGAAAGATAATATCGGAAGTCGGCTTAGGAATTGGCTATAGTTCTTGTTGAAGGAGAGGGAGCTCCAGGCTTGTTGATTTGATGAATGATTATGAGTTTCTGTGTGTTCTTTCATTATCGGCGGTGTACGAAGGTTTTAGAATGAGGTTTTGTTAGGTATGAGGTTTATTACCGGGATTGGGTTGTTCTGAGCAGTTACTGTGATCAGAGATTTTGCTATGGGTATTTGAGTTAGATGGTATATCCTGTGATTGTAGCTTGGGTGATGGTTGCGGTTTGGTACAGTTTGTTCAGACTTATGCAGTGTGTAGGTTGCGAGATTCAGATCTTATAAGAAATTCCGGATGCTGGAAAATT